GTTCGCATATGCTAAATAATGTTTTGAAAAAATATTCTGTTTGTAAATTATGCTCTAACTTCAGATATAATGCAGAAGGGATACACTTTTGCAAAATTTGTGCTCAAGACAGTCCATCACGTAACAAGTCTGATGCTTTTAGAGTTACATGTACTACAGCAGAAACCCTGGCAATATGGTTGCCAGCAAAAACATTGACTATCCATAATATTCACTGCTCACACACACAGCTGGAGATTTATAGTGTTCTATGCACTTTCAGAGAAAGCCAAACAGCTTATCAATTGTAAGAAGAAGGATGCTGATCTGGAAGCTGCATGTAAGGCCTGGAAAGAAGAGCAAGCATCACTAGAAGATCAGAAGCTGAAAGGCCTCTGGAGAAACACACACTTGTCAACTTCCTGATGGAATCAGCAGATCGAGGCTTTCCTTACATTCACCAGAGCATTGAAACCTTTGTGAACTTACTTCTACAAGCTCACTTAGGTGACAGTTACTAGCCAGTTGGTGGATCATGAATCTATAAATTTTTCACTCAGCATTGCAACAAATTTCAGGCACACTAGAGCCATCCACTTGATATACAGCATGCACAGGCCTTGAATCTAGAGATTGTCACACACTAGTTCACACTGGTAGAGCAATAGATTGTTAAGTATCATATTTGTCCTGAGAATATATGTAGCATGGATGAGAGTGAGTTTCCATCAAGATTGCTGAGCTTGGAGTGTGTTATCAGAGGCCAAAACACCAAAACCCAGCATAAGCAGGATAGCAGCAACTGTGAGAATGTCACTGTTCTCCTGGAGATATTGGCAAATGATACTACACTGAACCTGCTAGTTGTGTTCAAGGGGAATATCTGATGGTGAAGTGAGGTAGCAACAATGTTGCATATGCTGCATGAGTGATTATCTCAGCTATCAAATGATCTCACTCATCAATCATAGCATCACTTGTTTTACAAACAGCTGGACTGATGCAAAAATTGCACTTGAATGGATTACAAAGGTTTATAATTCTGCAATGCATGAGAAAGCTGGAGGGCATATGCACATTATCTTCTTAAATGGACATAGCTCTCACTACTTTGTTAAGTTGCTTGAGTTTGCACACATCAACAACATCATTCTCTTTGAATACCCACCACATTGAACTCATGTTTGTCAGAGCTTCAATGTTGTCTGCTTTGTAAAGATGAAGAATATGTGAAAGTACAAGATTGCAGAGTTCAAGTCTACACATAAGTGAGGTGTCAACAAAGCAGACTTTGTTGAGGTTTTCAGGTGTGTGTAACTTTCTGTGTTTGACTCTGAAACTATCGAGGTGGTCTTTTGTGCAACTGGCATCTATCTTTACAATTTATCAATTGTTACATTGGAGCAGATGAAGTCTAGCATTTCTACCTCAAACATGGAGACTTTTTCCATTGCTGCAAATATCTCCAGCCTGAGCTGTTATAGCTGCTTTCTGTGCACATCCACTAATTGTGTTCAATGCTGCCAAAAATACCTATGTCTTTGCATTAGCACTGACTGAAAAACTTGGTGCATCTATCTGCAAGTGTACAGCAGACTCCTCTTTTGACCTCTCTCTGTACACCCCCTCAAAACAAAAACAGATGCTGTATAGCTCATTTGCTTCAACTTCATCTGGCTTCTATTTGGTTAACAAGTGTCTCATTCCTTGAATCAAGCTGTTGCATCATCAGTGCTTGACAAGATTTCTTTCTTACCCACTTTAAACATGAGTCTTTTTGCTTTGCCTTATTCTAGGCCACTTAGTCGAGTTACCAATGCAAAGTTACAAACAGAGAGCACATAACTTCGAAAGCAGCGTTGCCTTGCTTGCCAGCATGTTTATGCATGGAACACCATCATTAAGTTGAACCAGGCCCAGTTAGCAATTCAGGACATGCACCTGCAAAAACAAAATGAGACTTTGCACACGAAGGAGAAGAAGAATGGCTGTGGCAATGAGTGCCTCTACTGAGTCTATTCATGAGGAATGGGGCAAGTCTTGACAAGTGACAACTGGTATAACATCTAAAAGGTGATTGATAAGGCCAAAAAAACCAAGCAGAAAGAGAAAAAAGTATGAGCCAAAGTGAGAGTGAATAAGAAGCAAGCAAAGGAATTGCTCAAGCAGCATTGAAAAGAGATGTCAGAGATACACAAATTGGCGGTGGCAAGGTGGATAGCTGAAATGAAGCAGTTGCTGATACAAGGTGTAAAAAAGAAGGATTTGCCAAAGAAACTGGTGCATTTTAAAAAGCCTACTTTGAAGATGCCAGAAGATGACAACAAGGATGAGAACAGAACAGAGGTATCTAAAGATGAGTAGTATAACATAAGTTCACATCATATGTTACATATCATAACACTTAGTCACATATAGTCACACTGTGCCAAATGACACAAACCTGTGGTTGTTAGCTATCATTAGGCTGATTCTTCTAACAGACC